GAAGACGTTGGCCTCAACACTGCGTCGACAACGATGACTCCAACAGAAGCTCCATGTGTCCTCCCGGTAGCCGACGTCGAGCCATGCAGCAGTGCGGCCACGACGACGCAGACGTCCGAGGAGGTCGTTCCAACAGCTTTGTCCGCGGTATCACGGTCGCCGACACCACGCGGTGACGCGAGCCACGCAGGCCTCGTCAATCTCGGCAACATGTGTTACATGAATGCCATTCTGCAGTGCCTCGCACACACGCCGCCACTGGTCGACGCGCTGCTGTCACTGCAGAGCGAGTCCAACATAGCCCGTGCCCTTGCACGCGTGGTCTCTGGTATCCTTGCCAACGACGCGGCTTCATAACCGCTGCGACCAAGAAGCCTTGATGCCTCCGTTCCACTCGGCCTCGAAGCAGCAAGATGCCAGCGAGTACCTATCGTGGCTTGTCTCGGATCTCCAAGTCGCTTCCACGATCCCAGAAGATGTTTTCGGCTCGTACTGGACAGCGACGAGTACCTGTCCCCACTGCGGCCTCGAGTCCGAGGCGTCGGATGCCTACCATGACATTTCATTGCTCGCGGAAGAGACGACCTCGGTCGCGGCTGGTCTCGCGAACTTCGCGACGAAAACTCTTCGGCGGACGTGCGACCGCTGCCATATCTTTGGCACGTCCGAGCAGCACTGGGCGATACTCCTCGCGCCACCCGTGCTCGTCCTCACGCTCAACGCGACCAACTACAACGTAGAAAACACCAGTCATGTGGTCGTGGACGAGATGCTGGCGCTGGGTGCAGTGTATTACCGCCTTGTCGGTCTCGTCGGTCATCGCGGTGCCTCGGTCCTCGGTGGCCACTACGTCGCCTACGTGCGCCGGTCGAATGGCTGGCTGTGTATGAACGACGCACTCGTCTCGGTCGTGTCGCCCCGCGCCGTCTTCGCCCAACGCGCCTACGTCCTCTTCTATGAACGCATGGTCGACGAGTCGTGAACCAAGATGGTATCAAGTCCCACCAACCAGGTCGAACCTCCACATTGCGTCATGGACGAATAGCGTCCATTGGCAAGGTACACTGGCGATTTGGACGAAGAACGTCCATCCTAAGATACACTAAGAAGCCAGAGCTAGGTTCCACCGTTGATCTTTTATGTTGTGCATCATGATGCACCAAGTCGGCTTTAGCAGACTCCACAGTCCCATTACCAAACGCGCATCCAACCCCGCAGCCCCACCAGTTGCGAAACGCTATGCACGAATTGTACCCGGACCATGCGAGCAACTCAACCGACTTCGATTGGATCGTATGCGACGCATGTCCCATGACGGGACGACTGCGTTGCATGGCTCGTGGCGTCGCAAGTGCTTGAACGCTGCAACATTCAGTGCCATCAGAAATGGACGCGATCGAAGGACCCTAACCTCGTTCTGGGCCATTGGACGATCGACGACCGCCTCAAGGCGCTCGTGCAAGAAAAAACAAAACACTGCAACGCGGCGTGGAAGGAAGCGCGTTGGCCGACCGTACGACTCCTGTCGGCCCTTTTTGTAGCTTTCTGCTAGCCTTCTTCTGTGGTTCGTCGGGTCAAGCAGTGCCGCGACCGATGGGACGCCGACTCGGACCCGTCCATAGCGTTAACGTCCCTTACCTCAACGAGCGAGGTCCAACGCATCTGGATTGCTGACATATCATCCGCCGTTGATTCCCGAGTATGTAGCTCGTTGCGATTTATGGCCCACTTGATCATCCCCTCGACATCCACTGGCGGTGCGGCTGCGATTCCAAGCTCCAACGTTCGGCTCGTCGTGGTCCCTGTACACCACCGCCGTGTCAAAGGTTCCGCGCTCTCAAGGTCCTTCCGTCGATGACCGTCTTGGTCGCATCAACGTTGCAGTAGCCAAACAGAATCTGTCTGCAGCCAGTGTTTGAACCGCATTATTCGATTTTCCATCGATTCCCATAATCAAGCGAGAAGACGAAGGTTCGAATTGGAACCGCCATTTCGCATTGCGCTGCCTGGACCGAGGATCATGGAGGACTACATCGTGCTGCGGCCGCTCGCCAACGCCATCTACGGGCGCATCCTCCTCTGTCGACACGTCTCGACCCAGGCGCGCGTCGCCATCAAGCTCCTCGACATGGCGCATGCGACCGCCCACACGACCGTCGCCGACGGCCACACGGTCGACGAGAACGTCGTGAACGAGCTCGCCGTGAACCTCGCCGTGCGCGACGC